ATATGCTAATTTTTTGGGACAGGCATTTTGGGTTTTCATGAGCTGTATGCCATAATCATCAGTATTAAAACAATTAAAGACCTGAAATATTTCAGTTGGTGTGCAATGAATCTGAAATATATGAAAGTTTCATTTTTATCATTACATTATGGAAAATAATGACCTTTATCACAATATGCTAATTTTTTGAGAAGGACCTGTATATATATATATATATATACACATGTTTTGAAATGTTCAAATATCAACTAATTATAAGTTCACAAGTTGGATTCTTATTGATGCAAAACAGGCTAACAGACAGTTATCTGGAGATTACACTTTTAGGACATGATTGATTTTAAATCGACTTTACATAAATGGGGAGTGGTGACACAGAGGTTACAGAAGGCAAGCCTGTGATTGGTTGCTGGTTTGAAACCCCTCCCAGACTGGCTTCATCATATGTGAGTGGGAAAGGTGATGCACCCACACCTGCCTCCACCCTCATCTGCCCCACTCTAAGCTCTTGATCAAGGCCCCTAATCCCACCATCTGCTCCCTCGGACGCCCCAGATGGCAGCTCCCTGCTCCACACAGACAGCTGTGGTAGCTCCGTGGTCTGAGGTTGCGTCAGGAAGAGCATCCAGCGTAAGAACCAAGTCTTAGTGCGAGTTACTTCACTGTGGTGACCCCTGAAGAAGGGAGCAGCTGAAAGAGAAATAAAAACTTTACATGAATGGCAAAAGGTCTTGTATACTAAATACAGAATTTCCAGCAACTGTAGTAATATTGAGTGTATTTATTATTATTATTATCCTAATATTGCATGATTTGATTATTCTAACCTATTTGCCATACAGATAAGTGTCAGCTTATTTTGTGAAATGTTTATTTATTTTTTGTATGTGATAATTATGAATAGTTTTATTCTTATTTAAACTTAAAACGCAACTTTTTTTTTCTTTTTATTATCTTGTTAGATGTCACTTACCCATGCTCTACATCGGACTTGAGTATGGTCTAACCAACAACTCCAAGCTGGCAGAACGTTTCTTCAGTCAGGCTCTAAGCATCGCTCCAGACGACCCATTTGTCATACACGAGGTGGCTGTGGTTGCCTTTCAAAATGGAGAGTGAGTAAACTGCTGCTCACACACGACGACTGTCCTCTAATAGGACATGTGCTTTATAAATGTTACCTGCAGCTCAAACAAGTGTTGAGGATGTTGTTATCAAGGAGTGGCCTTTGTTGAAGCTGTTGTTTACATATGACGTAGTTTCTAACAGTCAGGTCCTCTGTTGAAATGTTTCATCTTTTGTCCTAAAAACTTCTCCAGTCTGAGGAGCTGCAACATACTCGGTCTTATAAACGGCACCTTCCCAAAGTGGATCAACCACTTTACTGGTGACATCCAGAACTAGTTGAAATGCAGAAGGAGGACCATTGGCCCTTGAGAATAAATTGTGCTTGTTCTTTAACAAGCACAATTTATAGATATTAAGATATTACTTAAAAAAATTCTGTCAATTCAAAATATTTTAATAATTTGTGTTTTACCTTTCATCAGTTTTTTTCTTGATTTGCATATAGTATTTTTATTTAATGTTTAATTTTTTTTAAATATACTCATTAAGTAGACTCTTAAAACTGACTAATTGTTTTTATAGACTATATCTGTTTTGTTTTTTTTGTTTTGTTTTTTTAATCCATGTGTTATAAGAATGCTTTTCTTGTTACAGCTGGAAAACAGCAGAAAAGTTGTTTCTAGATGCAATGGAGAAAATCAAGGCTATAGGAAGTGAGGTAACAGTTGAATTCTTTTGTTTTTTGTGTAAACGTTAAGATTGATGTAATGCATGTGTGTAAAACATGAACAGTTCTTTATAAACGTAAAGATTTTATTATTTCATTTTAATTAAAGGTTACTGTGGACAAGTGGGAGCCCTTGTTAAACAACTTGGGTCACGTGTGTCGAAAACTTAAGTAAGTGTTGATCCACTTATGATGTACTGTTTAAAAATCTGGGGGGAAAAGTCACTTTTTACATTTTGCTTTTCACATTAACATGTTTCGTAAGATAATATCTTGTCAGACTGAGTGTTTCCTTCAAAACGGAAAATGAAGAAATGTTCTCTGACATTTTCTTGATTGTTAAATATTTATTGTGAAACATCCACTTGTACATTATACACAAACACACTCAGGTGTCCAAAAAGAAAGTTATTTGCTCATTGTCAAACCTTATCTGATCATTTACCATACCATACCATACCATTTTATTTATAGAGCACTTAAAACAGCAACAAGGCCAACCAAAGTGCTGTACAGACAGAACAACAGGCACACACAGAGCAATATACAAAACGAAGTAAATCAGAATATAGACATAAAAACGATGCAGATAATAAATATGATGACTAATCTGTGTGAAGCAAACAGGTTCAAAACACAGATCCTCTGGTGTTGAAAGCTACTGAATAGTAGTGGATTTTTAAATGGGATTTGAAAACTGAGAGGGAGGGGGCCTGTCTGATAAGCAGAGGTAACTCGTTCCAAAG